ATAACAATAATAAATAAATATAGAAGGGGAATATAAATCAGAATTGTTATGGATTACTTGTTGGTTTTCAATGTGTTGTTTGTGCTATCTTTTAGGACAAGTTCCCACATCTCTATCTGCCTTTGAACTGTAACAAGCACAGTATTAAACATTCTATTATCCTAAATATTTATATTATGAAGAAAAAAAAGTTTATTTCCGTCTCAGTGAATAATGGATCATGAAAATATATTAAAAATAAATGGAGATAGGGATAGCAAAATTGAAGGGGAAAACCGAATATTTAACAAAGAGAGAGCAAGAGTGAAATCAAAGTATAGCTGACTACTCTTTGAAAGGAATGAGATACATAGGGACTCATTCTGCAATGCATGCTCATGCTGGCATGTACTTACTCATTCAAGTAATCCGGTTGAAGTCAATAGGTTTACTTACAAGATCAAGTAGTTCAGCATGAGTAACAGTTGCAGAACTGGGCCTCAAGAAAAGATCTTTGCAGCACAGTTTCATTGATTTCAGAAGTAAATTTCTCTAGTCAAACTTTTAAAAGAAAATGAATGTATAAAGGAGAATTGAGATGAGAACAACAAAAATATAGTTACAATGGAGCTCTGCGTTGCTGTTTGGGAGATCTGGGTTTGTTACCCATGAAAGGTGTGTTGCTCCCTGGACCTTCATGAGCTGGGCAGGCTTCAGGAGCACAATCAACCTTTGGCAGAACCTGTCTCTTCACTCAGCAGGACATCTGCTAGCCTAAACCCCGTGGCTTAAAGGAGCAGCAATTAGATGCTTTAAAGAAGGAAATCAAATACAGAAAAAATAATAAAGAACAGAGGTATCTCCAGAAGATTCATAATGGTTGTAAAGGACACATTCTCCTTTCTATCCACCTTATAAATAAACCCCAAAACGGCATTATTTGAATATTTTAAATAATTCATTTTAGTTTGTATTCCTACTAGTCTCCAAATTGAGTTCTGCAGCTGCTGCACCTAATTTTATTTTGGCATAGAAAGAGCTAGGGTCTGTGAAGCACAGTCTGTCTCTTCCCTCTGGAGCAGGAACTGGCATAATGATTCAATATTTAAAAGTGCTTTTGATCATCTACATTTGTACAGACTGATTACAACTTCAAATAAAATGAATACAGGCAAAGAAACCTTAGTATCATTTACTGGAGGATAGTTAATTGGCAAGTAGAACTGCAATGTTTTAACTAAATGAAGTAAAATTTAATAGACCATAACTAGTTATGATGAAAAAAGGCAAAATAAATCATAAAAACCAGATTCCTTAGAATCACATTAATTGTAATTCCTGATGTTGAATCTGCACAACAGATTCATTTTATGATCATTTATGGGGAGGTTGTAGACATATATCACAAAGGACAGTGAAGGTTAAAGGTACTTATTGCTCCCTGGTTCTTGTTCAGCTGATTGAAATATACTTGAAAAAGACTTCTGTCTGGAATAGATAATGTATTTCTAGCTCTAATGTCAATTGGCAAACATAAAAATCAAAGCAAAGTAATCACCAGCAATTCAAAATCCCCAATATTATCTTGGATACTGGAATGAAAATGTGAGCTCTTTCAAGCTGTTTTAGCCTAGTACAATGTAAAAAGCAATTTAACTTGGATCACAGAGAAATTAGAAACCAAAACATTGCTGAGACTGAGGAGGTTATAAGTGATAATGACAGTACAGCCAAAGTCTGTAGTCCAGTGGTTTTCAAACTCTTCCATAGTGGGATGCCTTTTTCCATATTGAGACCCTGTCCCAGAACTTCCCTCCCATCTAGGCGGGATCTGGCTAGTACTCTCTCCCACCTTCCATTGAAAAGGAAGGGAAGGACAGTGTGGCCCCTCCCCTCTGACATCAGTTCAGGACCTCCATGTTAAGAAGGCATGCTCTAGTCTAGTAGTCAGTCAACAAAGTTTAACTAGAGAAAAGTGGGAAATCCAGATTTTTATTCTACCAAATATAGCCTGAGACACTAAATTCTGGCAGAGATGGGAATAATGGTTTGCTCAGCTCCCATTTCCCGAGAGTAGAAAAAAGGAGTGATCAGCACAGCATCCTGAACTCTGATACAGACTCCTAGACTGAGACTTAGGTCAGGCTCCATTAAGGATCTAACTTTGGAAACCTGGTGAAAATAAGTTCCAGGGGCCAAAATCTGGGGTTTGCATATTTAATGCAGACATGTGGAGACACGAACTAGGGTCTGTTACTGTCATATTGTTCACCTTTAAACTGGTAGGAGGACTGATCCATTGAAGAAGGTTTCTCTCAAAGGGTAGCCTACCCACAGGGCTAACATACAATATTTCATTAGAAATGAGAATTCAGAACTCCATGTGTCTAAGCTATCAGGTTTAGAAATAGAGGTCTCCTCTACAATTGCTTGCAAAGATTAAATCTCATTCTACCAGAACAGGGGCAAAAAACGTATCACTACTTTTTAGGCCACTATACTTCATGAGACATTTTATAATTTATGCATATGAATGGGCACTACTGCTGAGTGAATAATTCAAAGTGTACCATTTTTTCAAACAATTGTCTTTCTGTTCAAGGATGTCAAGTTTATGATTTTATCAAATACATCCCCATTATTTAAAGTTATATTCCCAATAATTCTGAATAATTCATGATCTGTAAGTTGTGCACTAGCTGTTCATTCTGCATATTTGATATTCATGCTGCTTTGATTGGACATGTGGATCACGTGGTATGTTTCTGCCCTCTGACTGAGCGTAACTCAAAAAAACCTACCACAAAAAACAGATTTTTGACAAAATATTCACTTTTTCTAATTCAAATTTCATTTTCTGTGAGTATGCTACAATAGCCATTTAAAATTCACCATTTTTCAAATATTTCTGCTAATCAACACTTTGTCTGTGTAGAATATTCTCAGGAAACTCACAAACCCAGTTAAAGTGAATTAATTAACCATTCAAATAAATATTCATGGTACTATGCCCATCTCTAATAAGCACCAGAAAGAGAATTATGCCCAAATAGAACCCTCTCTTTCTTCCCCCTATGAAAGTCTTTGGATGTTTGGCTATAGATAAAGCATATGCACACAAACCCATAATTCTCAGGGAAACAGGTGTCTAATATTCCTGTCAATAGGCCAGCCTGAATAATTCATGACCTTTCAATTCTTGGGGTCAATCCATTTTTAAGTACCACTGTTCTTACAGAATATGTGCTGGACAAGGCTGAACTGTTTAAATCCCTGTTCATTCTACAGATGACAGTCTCTTTCACAGTAACATTTTAAAGGAAAAATCAAGGAAAAAGGCACATGGGAGACAGAAGATGCTGCTCCTCATTGGAGCAGTGGAGGGAAAAGAAGGAAAGAAATGCTGCCCATATTTCCATTGGTTGACTAGGAGATTTAGCTGGAGTTATAACTTGGAAAACGGGATTCTCTAAATCATCAAAAACTTCTTACTTGTAAAAATGTTAAATCTGGATAAATAGCCAGAGTAAAGCATAAGGGCTTTATGGCCTTCTGAAAATGTCATGCTGATCCAGCTTATATAGTGTTCCCACATGCTAAAGGAAGGATAAACACAACCATCCTGCTCTGGTACAGGGGATGGTATTAAAAAATATCATCATCTCATATAACTGCCTAAAACAGAGTACTAGAGAGACAAGTGGATGAGGTAGACCTGCAGAAGGACCTGAAGAAGACCTCTGTGTGGTTTGAAAACTTGTCTCTTTCACCAACAGAAGTTGGTCCAATAAAAGATATTACCTCACCTACCTTGTCTCTCTAAAACAGAGGACAGTATACTTCATGCCACATACACTTGTCTGCCAATAATGCAGTGTCATACAAATGCACCATCAGATCTGAGCTGATAAAGATGGCAAGTCTGTTTCATAACATGCACTTATTGATTGTTTCTCTGATACCTTGCTGACCTTTTCCAGCTTGTCATGCCTGATATTCTGCATTGGACTGGCACTATACTGTTTTTCCAAAGTTCTTTTTAGAAAGATGGACATTACGTAAAATTAAAAAGAAAGTTATTTTTGTTATAACCCAACAAATTTGTAATTGATGCTGCTAAAATGAAAATCTGCTAAGGATCAGAAATTAATAGTGTAAGGAGTTTGAAACAGTGAATCATGAGAATGAACACACCATTTTTAAACTGACTGATAACTGGAATCTATAGTTTGTATCCTTATGTAAAAAAGGATCATGTTAGCATCAGCTTCAGGGTTGTATAAAGAACCATTACAGAATACGTACCTAATGATTATTTTCCTCAACTGTTATTCTTTCATGTTTGCTGTAATATACACAAAGTTCTAACCCTACCCCGCTGGTACTTACACATACTGTTTTCTTGAATGAATTTCACTAACATCCTGGTGATCTTTGTAAAATTCGTTATTTAGAAGTATGTTAAGGTCGCTCAGAGTTTAGTACAGTGCAGTATATAGCGAATCAATTGAAAATTCAAAATGTCAAGTGTCTGAGTTCATTTTCTGTAATCAAATTGGTCATGCCAAGTATGACCCCCACAATATAGTGCTTCTGGTTATTCTGGACCAGACCTGCAGTATTTGAGTTTTTGAGATCCACTGCTACTAAGATTCCCTCCAGTGTATAAAATGAACACTAGCTGTTAAAATGTCTTGCCTATACTGGAGTTCAGTATAAAATACACAATATATTATGCAAATAGGAAACCTTCCTTGTCATGCTTTAGAAATTTTAATATTTCTGCCTTGTACTAATTTGTAAGACGAATAATCTGTTGCAACTATACAAGCTAAAATTATATTGCTTATTTTGTCAGTCACTGCAACTACTTTTATCTTCCAGAATCTCACCATGAATAATCTTTTAAGAGTCCATTAGATACATACTAGTACACTCAGAAAAACATGGAATAAAAATTATTCTCCAAACTGGATTGCAATGACTGACTGAAGCAAAGACAGGTGGATAAATTGCCATACCGATGAACTCCACTATTGCACATTATGATGTGGCAAGCTCCAAGTCTGCTACAGAGTTCTGAAGAAACTGACAGCAATCCAACTCCAGAGGCACTGCAAGCAGTGTAAGCACAGGCCGCTGTGCGCTTGGATCGGATAAAAGACACAACCAGTCGGTAAAGTTCATCCAAAGAATTGAGGGGCCGCATCAGCTGCAAGCAAAGGAGAACAGAGAGATTTAGACAACATTTGCCATCAAGATGTATGTGAAGTTCTCTTCTGGGAGGGTGACAACTAAATTGTTTCTGAGTTTAATGACTCCAGACAAGAACAGATGAGCACTGTGGGCCAAACCCTGAGTCCAGCTGCTTTCAAAGCACAGATTTGAAAGGGCATGCGCAAAGCACACAATGTATTGTGGCAATATTTAAGACAGTTTTTTTAAAATCGGTATCTGGGTATTTTCATTGAATGTATAATCCCCAGACCCATCTCTACTGTGTTAGCCCTCTCCACCTGACTACACATGGGCAGGCCTTCTTCCAGGAGTATTTCCAAAGAAGGAATAATGCAGTGAAAGACAAATGCAAAGATAGGCGCAAACGGAGGAGTGCTGGGACTGATGCATGACCACTATGAGAAAAATCAGCATACAGGTAAGACAAAACTGTCCTATGTTTATGCAAACAGCCATTCACTAATCCTGACTAACTACTGAAAGAATATTAGAGTGACTAGGTGGGTAAGGTAATATCTTTTATCGGACCAACTTCTGTTGGTGAGAGAAACAAGCTTTCGAGCTTACACAGAGCTGTTCTTCAGTTCTGTAAGATCAAAAGCTTTTCTCTTTCACCAACAGAAGATGGTCCGATAAAAGATATTACCTCACGTACCTTGTCTTTCTAATATCCTGGAACTAACACAGCTACAACAACACTGCATACTAAAAGAATAATAGTAAGCAGTAGAACAGGAGTGAAGAAACCACAAACAAGAACAATTAACTTTGCAACAAAACTGAAAAGAAAGTACAGGGGTCGGCAACCTTTCGAAGAAGAGACATTTTTTTGTTTTTGTCTTTGACCAAAATATTTCGAGAGCCGCATCACACGCAAAGCTACTTATACAGTTAGAATTTATCAGCTAATAATAATTGAACATATTAAAGTTATTACTACTCACCAATACTTTTAATGCGACCTCTGCCATTTGAAGTTGAATATAAACAGGAGGGGGCGCTGGGCTTGGGCAGGGGATTGGGGTGCAGGAGAAGGTGCAGGGTCTGGGAGGGAGTTTGGGTGCAGGACGGGGTTCTGACATGGGGAAGGGGTGCAAGGTGCAGGCTCTGGCCGGGAGATGCTTACCACAGGTGGCTCCTGGCCGGCGGCGTAGCAGGGCTCAGGCAGGCTGTCTGCCTGCCCTGGCACCACGCCGCTCCTGGAAGTGGCTGGCTGCTGGCACGTTTCTGCACGCCCCTGGTGGTGAGGGGGAGGTGAGCTCCGCGTGATGTCCCCACCCCCAGCACCATCGTCACAGGTCCCATTGGCCAGTGAGAGCTGCGGGGGCGGTACTTGTAGGTGCGGGCAGCGCATGGAGATCCGCAGCCGCCCTCCCCACAAGGGGTACACAGAGACATGCCAGCAGCCAGACGCTTCTGGGAGTGGCATGGGGCCAGAGCCCTGCTGCACCACTGGCCGGGAGCTGCCTGTGGTAAGCACTTCCCAACCAGAGCCTGACCTCGCACCCCCTCAAAAAATGGCTGCCCGCAAGGGGGCAGCCAAAGAGCCACAAGGGGACAGCCAAAGAGCCCCATGCGGCTCTGAAGCCACAGGTTGCTGACCCCTAATGGTATCCAGATTGAAATGATACATATATAGAGAAAGAGTTTAACTGCATAATATTGAATTTATATATATATATATACACACACACACACACACACAAAGATAGGAAAGACTGTCTTCATGAACTGGTAACAAAAGGCAGCGTCTCTCCCACGGTGTTCGGTAAAAAAGTGAAATGAGGCTCAAGTCACATTGCAGCTCTTGTCATACAAAGCCCTGATTTTCTCTGCTCATGAGATACCTAGGGATTCCCATAGAGAGAAACCTGCTAACCAAAGAAAGAATATTTAAAAATCTAGACAAGCACTCCCTAATGGCAATTTTAATTCACCAGGGAAATGGTAACCTTATTTAGACTTATATTTACCTATATTTGAAAAGTACACTGATTTAACTAAAGTGATTTAAAAATAAATCTAGCTAAACCAATGCAAACTGCTTACATAGACTCACTTAACATAGTTTAATGTTTAGTTATATCAATTTAGCTTGCATTGGTTTCAACTGGTACTAGTTTCTAGTTTAGACAAGGCTTTATGAAATATAAAACTGTAGGCTGTAAAATGGATGTCAGATCAAAAGCGGATGCCATGCTAGGTAGTGCTTTAGGCATAAAAGGAGGATTTTTTTTCTTAAAATGGAAATAGGAATCCATTTTAGGGGCACCATCATGGGAAAGTTGTAAGGGCAACCTTGTGAGGAAAATCCTGAAGGGCCTGTTCTTTATGGGACAGTGCACCAAGTTCATTCTCCTGGGCACAGGGACTGTTGCCTGCAAGCACCCCTGACAGGACCCAAAGGGATAAGGCAGAGACCAGGCCATGGCTCTGCCCCTTTACTCTTTGCTAAAGTCAGAGGAAACAGATCGGCTTCACACGTGAGCATGTGCTGCATCTCCTGAAGCACAATATCTCTTAGGAGGGCAATGCTGTGTCAGACCATCTGTAATGCAGAGCTGGGACAAAAGCCATAACAGAGCCCTGAAAAAATACCTCAAAATAATTCAACTCAAGCCAAAAGAAAGGGATTAGGATAATGTGTAACATACAGAGTTTAATTAAACACTTAATATTATTGTTTACCTTATCTATATAAGCAGCTTTTGATGTTGAATTTGGAGGGAGGTTCGACTTGTCCAGGTAGAATGCCCTGAGATAATGAACAAACAAAACTGTTAATTGTTTAAAAGCCTCTATAACATATACTTTAAATATAACTGAAATGTCCTTTGATTTATGAAGGGTTTTTTAGACTTAAGGACATGAGACAAGTAAGGGCTGGAACAAATGAAGGTTAAAGGTGCACTAATGCTCTTCTTTTTAAAGAAATTATGAACATGTTTTTTCTTGGCAAGCTGCAGTATAATGGGTCACTGAATAACGTGCATCTGAGTGTAGACCGTGCAGCAGAACTTCTGCAGTGTGTTTTACTGCAAAGTTACTAGAAAAACTGGAATTGGTTATGGAAAATGATAATATTAGAGGAGCACCCCAAATGTACTAGGCACGGTGCAGACATATAGAAAGACATTGTCACTGCCCTGAAAGGCTACAATATAAAAAGAAACTAAAAAAAACTAAGAGTGGGGGAAAGATACACCATACAAGCAAAGTGAACAGGGTGATGACCGGAACTAACAATGTCTGTGTCAATTTTTATATATGCAACAAACTATCTTCAACTGCTCCTCTGCATAATTTCCACCCACCTATATGAAAATGATTTCATATATAAAGAAGCAATTGAATGCAAATATGGTTCATCAACATAAAAACAAAATGCAATGTGAAAGAGAAAGACCAACAGAGCCAGAGCCAACAGCTTAATAAAATTAATATTGCATAGGAAGTGTCTCTAGAACATAAAAAGTTCTGTCAAAGGACAGAGGCTGGTGTTCCATATGGTACACAGTATGCTCAGTTCGTGTTCACAGGCCTTCAATATTATCCTTTTTCTCCTCTGTCCTAAAACTGAATAACCCCACTCCTTTAGTACATAAGAACAGCCACACTGGGGCAGACGAACGGTCCATCTAGCCCAGTATCCTGTCTTCCGAAAGTGGCCAATGCCAGGTGCCCCAGAGGGAATGAATAGAACAGGTAATCATCAAGTGATCCATTCCCTGTCACCTATTCCCAGCTTCTGGCAAACAGAGGCTAGGGCCCATTCTGGCTAATAACCATTGATGGACCTATCCTCCATGAATTTATCTAGTTCTTTTTTGAACCCTGTTATAGTCTTGGCCTTCACAACATCCTCTGGCAAGGAGTTCCACATGTTGACTGTGTGTTGTGTGAAAAAAACACTTCCTTATGTTTGTTTTAAATCTGCTGTCTATTAATTTCATTTGGTGGCCCCTAGTTCTTATGTTATGAGAAGGAGTAAATAACACTTCCTTATTTACTTTCTCCACACCACTCATGGATTTTATAGACCTCTATCATATCCCCCCTTAGTCGTCTCTTTTCCAATCTGAAAAGTCCTAGTCTTATTAATCTCTCCTCACACGGAAGCCGTTCCATACCCCTGATAATTTTTGTTGCCCTTTTCTGAATCTTTTCCAATTCCAATATATCTTTTTTGAGATGGGGCGACCATATCTGCACGCAGTATTCAAGATGTGGGCATACCATGGATTTATACAGCGGCAATATGATATTATCTATCCCTTGCTTAATGATTTCCAACGTTCTGTTCGCTTTTCTGACTGCCGCTGCAAATTGAGTGGATGTTTTCAGAGAATATCCACAATGACTCCAAGATCTCTTTCTTGAGTGGTAACAGCTAATTTAAACCCCATTATTTTATATGTATAGTTAGGATTATGTTTTCCAATGTGCATTACTTTGGATTTATCAACACTGAATTTCATCTGCCATTTTGTTGCCCAGTCACCTAGTTTTGAGAGATCCTTCTGCAGCTCTTCGCAGTCTGCCTGGGACTTAACTATCTTGAGTAGTTTTGTATCATCTGTAAATTTTGCCACTTCACTGTTTACCCTTTTTCCAGATCATTTATGAATATGTTAAATAGGACTGGACCCAGTACAGACCTCTGGGGGGGAACACTATTTACCTCTCTCCATTCTGAAAACTGACTTATTCCTACCATTTGTTTCCTATCTTTTACGTAGTTATCAATCCCTCTTATCCCATAACTGCTTACTTTGCTTAAGAGTACTGGAGGAAAGGAAGCCTCTGATCTAGCCTCCCCTCACAGCACCTGCTGCAGAACCCCAATACTGTACAAATGGTTCAAAGAAGACTAACTTGTTATTAAGCACTGACTCATTATTCCCCATGACCCTTTCCTTACTTCCCAGTGACAGCTCACCATGTCACAAACATCCAATGCATGCTACCTACTAGTGGTAGCACCACTTCATCATCTGCCTGCTCATATTCATAGACCATAGAGAATTTTTATTTTTCCAACAGACGTATGAGTAGCATCACTTATCAGACACTATCACCAGCTTACCATCTATGTGGCATTATCAAATGTCAGTAAACTAATATTAAAGACTCCCTATCAGGAGCAATTGCTGGTTTCCTTTAAAGTCTGGCTGGAGCAATTTCATAGTGTTCTATTACTCTATGATGCTCATACAGCTGTTCCTGAATGTGCTGCATAGAAATCCATGGTGACAGCATATTTGACTTCACTTGGTGTCAGTGAAGGCCACTCTTGAACTTGGACTGAACATATTCTGAACAAGATGTTATGCAGAGCAGGGTAGAAGAACATGAGTGCAAATCTGTTGTAACAGCTTTACTTTTGAGTCACAGAAAAATGTTTATTATTACAAACAAAAAAACAATCTATTAAATTAATAACTGGACCTTGTCAAAAATGGGAACATTTTTGCAAACATTTTCAAGAAAAAAAATTGGGGGA